AAAAATAGAAGGCAGCTTGATAGAAGGGTCTACACTACAGAAGAGAGTTGAGGAACATGAAGCTAAGCTTTTTTATCACGATGGTTAGTTTGAGATTTTTGCAAAGAGAGTACTGTAGATTGAGGAAGTCCTTCTCAAGGGAAAGACGATAGAGAAGCCTGTTGTATTGTATGTTTTTCTTATTCGATCACTATAACGTGTCTTGTGGAGAATGCCATTAATTATTTATCAAAGTGTGCTCTCCAAGGCAGCAAGCTTGTCATGCACTGGTTTTAGCCCGCCAGATATTGTTCTAATCCTACCTAGTTCTATCTTGTTCTCCACAGAGTCTGGAAAGAAAAGCTTCCACTACCAAACACCCAGCACACACGCCTTACGATATTATGTGGAGAGCACACTTCCAATTAGCCTTTTCTCTCCTGCAAAATATATCATGACTTCTGTTCCGAAAATTCCAAACAACAATTATGATAAAATTTAAAAACTTCAATCACCTGAAGCTTTTACTGCACTACCAATTGCAGAAACGATCTTCACTTCATCCCTAATACCCATCTCCCACCGAGGGAGGCTGCAAATTATAAAACACATGGGATCAACTACAGTTGTTCCAATAAACAAAGGACTAATAAAAATCAAAACATTTGAGGACGCTACCTTGTGTTTGTGTTTGCTCCATCAACAGAATCAGGCTCACCAATTATGCCACTATCAGCTTTCAGATCTGTAATGCTGCACAGAGTAATACGCAATTTACAACCACGAGTTGCTACAACTTTTTAAAAATAAAAGGAGACAGCTTTGAAGCCTAAGGGTGTTTATAAAGTTCACTGACGAAAATTGTTATATCAGTACTGGTCAATTTGACAATATAGTGTATATCAAAAAAAGTGCAGCAAACATAAAACAAATACCTGTATTGGTAAAGATATGCAATGGAATCACTAGGTTACCATATCTCACTGCAGTAGCAATCTTAATCGAACATTTAAAGAAAAAGGCTACATATAAAGCATTTGAAGAATGTAATTGAAATATGCACGAGATAATAAGCTATAGAGTCATCAAATAAATCTAACTTATATACGGAAGAGAGCATGTGTATTGTTTGGGTTTTTTTAATTTGTGTGATCAGAAATTCATTTATAATAGACAGACAGAAGGAATAATTGAAACAAGAAATTCAAGTCTTAACGCGAAACCTGGATTGCTAGAGGATTACTCTAGGATTCGATCTAAAAGGATTCTTATTCGCACGTAGGACGATATACTGGTTCCGTTGACTACTACAAGGGATTCATTGACTCCTACGCTTACTCCTACAATGATCGGATAAGAGAAACTTTAGTGCAAGCTTCTCTATCATCTTTCTCTTGAGAAGAACTTTCTCAATCTGTAGTGCTCTCTTTGCAAAAATCTCAAACTGAACAGCCTTCAAGAAGCTTAGCTTCATGTTCCTCGACTCTCTCGACTCTCTTCTCTAGTGTAGACCTTTCGATCAAGCTACCTTCTATATTTTATTTTTTCAATTTGATCATAGATTCTAGAGAGGGAGGGGAAATTGTAGGATTTTTCCCCCTTACATCTGAGAAGGGAGTGAGAAGAGGACATGAGGGAAATTTAAGAAGGCAAGGACGCCATTTTAGAGGGCGAGCGATTCTTTTGCTGGAAACCAATGGTCAGATTTTTCTAGAAAGGACCCTGAAACTTCTGAAAGAAGCCAATCAGTTGATGCATCTGTAGTCTAGAAGAGGCCTTGCCTGAAGCTTCTGGAAGAACACAGTAAGGGCCCGTTTGGTTCAAGTATTTTGAGGCGGAAAGGAGATGAAAGCTGTAAGGTGTGTCAGAGCGCCAGTCTTCTTTTTTTTATGCTGCCCTCATTCTCTTCACTGACATCTTGCAGCTTTCCGCCCAATTCGCTCAATTTAGTAGCGAATTGGGCTGAAAGCTGCAAGTTGTCATAAATACCCATGGCTCTTCGACAATCCAAACAGCCCCTAACCGGATCCTTCGAGAATCTTCTTTTTGAATGGAATCGAAGTGGGCTTCAAGGGGGCGGTCTTGGCAAGTGGTGAGGTGGGCGGAGAAAGACGTCTACGCTAAGCAGAGGAGGGCAATTAAATGGATCCATTAGAGATCCGATCCACATAAGAGCCCGCATGGAGAAGAATTGACGATATGTAGATATTTAGAGGGAAAAAGGAAAGGGGAAGCGTCCAAGCCAATGTCACAAGACCACGAGCAGCATAGTAGAAAAGATAGGACGGGAGGATAGGGAAGGAGGATTTCGAGGAGGCGAACAACTTATAAATGTAAAAGTTTGAGAAGATTCTGGTTAACGGATCGGGTATCAGGTTATTTCTTAAATTAAATCTAAACAGACCTGATATGCATACATGCTTTGAAAACTGAACCGCCAAAAGAGTGTCGGCATTCTCCACAAGAAGTGACACTTCATGGCTAGCGACTCCCGAGGCGTCGAATCAAAAGAGTTGTTAATTCTCTAGGAGAGATACACTGCGTGGGGCCCATCGATATTTTGACCCACTAAACTAAAGGGTAAATTGGGCATAAGCTTAGAGAAGCAGCAGAGTAAACACAGGAAAAAGCTTTCACCGATCAAATAAATGGTTGTACTCGCCTTGAGTCGCCCACTACCTTGGATATAGAAAATTTTGAGCACAGAAGGGAGTAAATAATGGGGTTCTTACATTAGACCCTTACCTATCCCAATAAAATCTTGTATGTGATCTAAATGAAGGTATCGTAATGATACTTAATGTGTTTGGGTGTAGAATATAAATTACACAAGGGTGTTTTTATAAACAACAATAGATTTTGGGTGTAAACACGAAGATAAATAGAGTTAGGTGAGGTTTTGCCCCACTTCGTCCAGAAATATTAACGTTTGCATTATTGTCCATGATTATCAATATGAAACTTAAAATTGAGTGTACTCCATTAAAACAAATATTAAATAAGATAAATAATCATAATATTAAATTTTAGAGGCATAAGTGACTAAAAAACTATCAAATTGAAACCGAAAAATAAATTTTAGTACAAAAATAAACTAAAAATAAATAATTATGATATTAAATCACGTGCAATACACATGCATAAAAACTAGTGTAGGGGCAGCAAATTATGACTCGACCCATCAACCCGACCTGACCCGTTTATAATAGGTATGGATCGAGTTATATGGGTCGGGTCATAAACGGGTCAACCCAAACTGACTCATTTATTAGATGGGTAAATTAGAAAAACCCGAACTGAACCGTGTAACCCAATAACTGGCCCATTTAATTCTAAATGGATTGCGGTCCAAACTCCAAATATGAAGATGAAGAGTGATTCTCACAAAACTTCCTTGACTCTTTAAGAAATCCTACCTAAGCTTGATTCTGTGGTCGCGAACGGCGACGAGCGGAGGCAAGCGGAGACGAGTGAGGTCGGCGATAGCTTCCGTGATCGCAGGAGGAACGGGGAAGACATCAGAGAGCACAGTCCCTCAATCTGAAGAGGAATTGAATCACTAGCAAGAGGCCGATGGGGAGGAGGTCGGCGGGGCTAAGGAGGTCGGCGATAGCTTCCGTGATCGCCTCGCCATTGCTGTCGAGGAACGGAGCTCCGACAACGACGCCGACGACGATCGCGAGGAGGCTGTGTGGGGCCCGACCTTCGTCTAACATGAAAGAGATGGTACTTTAGAGAGGGAGAGTAAGTGAGGGTTTCGAGTTTAGGAGCGGAAGTTCTTTTTTATGTTGGGAGTTGGGAAAGGAGAGGGGCGAATAAGAAAAAGGAGTTGGGAAACTAGGGGGCGTTGGTAATTGTGTGATTTTGAATGGGATTTGTGTAGGGGTGTGCAAACGGTCGGTCGGCTCGATTTTTATCAAATTTTAAACAACCGAACCAAACCACCCATTATTCAAAACCGAACCGAACCGTTGCAAATCAGTTCGGTTCGGTTTGTTCGGTTCTAACTTCATCAAATCATTTATACACGAGTGCATCACATAGTAAAAGAATAATGGCTACTGTAACTGTAAGAACAGTATGAAAATCATTTATACACGAAATTCATTTCACATGATTCAAAAAATATCATATGAAAACAATTAATCAGGACCAGTCTACAATTGTTACAACTTAATGCCTGTAACTGTAAATGCTGTAAAATAGAGTCAGTTATGATTCTCTAAAAGCAAACTAAAGATCATTCATTTAATTAAATACCCACAAGAATTCCAATACTCCACAACTAGATCTAAATCATAAATTCAAACAGATAGATCAACCTTAAGAATCAACATAATACACAACAAATTGTTAGATATAGTGGAAATGAAACAAATATGAAAACTCTATCTAAAACCTTTTAATATAGTATAAGTACAGTCAATTAACATCATCCAAAATCAACCTCAAGATTATTCATTTTTAACTAAATACCTCAAGAATCCCAAGAATCCAAAAAGATCTAAATCATAAATTCAAACAAATAGATCAACCTTAAGAATCGACTTTAATAAACACGTAAAATTGTCAGCTATCTATCATATGTCGTTCACCCTCGATGAATAACTAGATCGTCAGCACAAAATAAATACCTAGCTAACCTAAATAAATATATATAATATATTGTCCATCCTTCTATTATCCTTTAACTCAAGAAGAAACTGCATCAAGGACCTCCATAATCAAATTACTACATCAATACACCTTCAGCAGATCTAAATCAGGTCAAGAAGATATATCAACTAAAAAAATCAACAATATTGCACAAAATCATCACTTAAAACCTTAAATCTAACAATATTCTATCAGATCTACAACAAATACAACGAAATATCCCAGATCTGTTTAAACTAAGCAACACAAATCCTAAATTACCTCAAAATTATTTTCCTCTTTCACCGAAATTTCAGCTCAGAAGTTCAAATAGATCGAGAATAGACGAAAAATTAAAGAAATAATAGAGAGATTAGGGTTCACACCAAATTGGAAGGAGAATCGCAAGGAGATGGATTCGTTCTCTCCGAGGGTTTGGAGATGAACCGTTGAGACTGCTTGGTACTAGCGCTGGCAGGTGGCGGCGGCTGCAGGGTGAGGTTGGACTTTGGAGACTGGAGAGAGTTAGGGTTTAGGTGTCTTGAGAACGAGGGGTTTTAGACCTAGTGAACATATGAAGAACGGGTCGGCTGCGGGGCAAGGTAATTGTATTGGTTTTATCACGAATGTTTTCACTCTTTGTATTGATATCTTTATTATTATGTAAATATGAAGATATATAGAGGACCCTTCACAAAACATGTGAAATTCTAATCACAATTTTTTTTAATTTGTTGTAAGTCAGTCTATTGATAATAAATATTTTTCAAAGTAACATTCCAGAAAATGATAATAATTCAAGAGGCTTAATGAAGGCATTAAAAATTTTCTTGAGAAAAAGAAAATAAAGTAAAGAATTGAAGATAAAGAACTCATTGAACTTAGACGCCACATAAAAAATATCATGTAAAATTAAAAAAGAGGCAGTGGTCTGTTGGGTCTCATGTTTATGAGCCTATTGTCTAATCTGTTTTTGATGATTAACATCGTTTTCTAGCATTTGTGTTTGCTCGCTAGGTATCCTAGACAAGCATCGATTGGAAGATGGTTGGATTTGCGTATTCAAGATTCTCATCCTATTGGAGTATTTGTGTTTGCTCGCTAGGTATCATATACAAGCATCGTTTGGAAAGATGGTTGGATTTGCGTATTCAATATTCTCATCCTATTGGAAGTTGGAGGAAATTGGAATGAAGCTTTTTGTAAGGACCATGAATTTTGATACTAGTTAAAATAAATGTCTAGTATTTTAAAATATTTAATTATGATTTTTAAAAGAGTATTTATATTTTTCTCAAATTTACATAATTTTCTATGATTTAAAGTCTATGTTTTATATTTATTTAAATGATTTAAATATTTATAAATTTATTTGATTTAAAGTCTATGTTTTATATTTATTTAAATGATTTAAATATTTATAAATTTATTTAGTGCAGTAAAATTTTTTGGAATTTATATATTTATTTAAATGATTTAAATATTTATAAATTTATTTAGTGCAGTAAAATTTTTTGGAATTTATCCATTGTGTTACCGATATTATTACGTATCATTTTGGATAATACGTGATATTATTATTATTGTTACGTATATTTTTGTATAATACGTTATATTATTAATTACGTATTATTTGTAAAATTTGTTGTATTATTTCTATTATTGTGTATCAGCTGTCGTATTAGTATAACAGGTACGTTTTACTGTGTATATAATTATCCCATAATTATTTGATTTTAAATATAAGTAAATATATTTTATTTATTAATTATTCTCGTTTAATTATACAATATGTGTATATTTTGACTGTTTCGTATCAACTGTTGTATTAGCACAACATGTATGTTTTTAATTACAGATAATTATCCAGTAATTATTTTGATTTTTAAATATCCATAATTATTTATTTTAATTATTTTTGTTTTAAATACTTAACCCTAAACCCTAATATAATTATATATATATATATATATTATAAATTAATTATATTTAGTGTATAAATATATTATAAATATATATATATATATAATATATATAAATATATAATATATACTTATATCTTCTCATCTCGTCAGTATTTCATCATTAGACGCCACCCGAACACGTAAAATCCTTTGATCTCTTTTCTGCTGCTGCTCACCACACGCCAGCCGCCTCTCCGCCACCTCTCTCCTCGTCGGCGCGACGAACTCAGCAGCCAGAGCCCCCAGGTCGGAAGCTGGTGCGGCACTCTCACCGCAGCCACTCTTCCCAAGCTCCAGCCCGCCGCCCTATGGCCTTGCGCCCCATGCTTGTCGTCGCAAGCCGAAACGGGCGACTCGTGCCCCACTTGAACCCGCAGCACCCGCAAACCTCAGACCCTCGTTCCGATCCCCGCCAATCCCCCCCAGCCCACCTCCTCCTCCATGCGTCGACAAAGCCAGAGATCCGCTCCGTAGGCCAGGCCCAGCTCAAGGCGCTCTGCCGTCCGGCCTTCCTGCCTACTACTAGCGCCAGTAGTCGGCCTTATGCCACTCTCCCAACACGCCTACCGGCAGGGGCGCACCCTCCCCCTTGGCGCGGGCATGCTCGCTGCGCATCCTCACTCGCTCGGCGCCTCAGCGCAAGATCCGCATGGGCGATCTGAAGCTGCGCGACGGACGACAGCCGAAGCGACAGCGACGTCACGAACATGACCCCTGCGGCCGCTTAAGCCAGAGCCTCGCTCCGTGCGCCTCGACATCGCCGTCCGCGTGGAAATGTCCCGTGCCGCAGGCGTGGACAGCCGCTAGCAACGGTACGTTGTTGGCCTCAGAGTGCACCATTCCGCCCGTCGTACGGCCTCAGGGCCTCGTCGCCACTCAGACTGAACACGGCCACTCCGCTACATAGCCGTGATACCGGTCAACAAGTCGATTATATCGTTCGACGAACCCGAGGTAAGACCCCGAACCTGGAAGTTATGTTTCATTTTTAATTCTTAAGTTTTTATCATAAAATTATTATGTGCAACGATCCCAATTAGCTTTTGACATTACGCGAATTCAATTTTAGATTGTTAATGAGTTAATTAATTAGAATTCGTCTGTGATATATTATTAGCGACTACGGTGGGAGATTGGCTTGACATGAATAGCTGTAGTGGAATGCTTGTTTTTTATCACTTAGTCTTGTTACCAATGAGGAGAGACTGTACATGAAGACAGACTTTTGTTAAAAAGTTAATGATCTATAAGCGTGTTTTCAGCATGTTAATAACTCACACTCGACATACGAAATATCCCGATTGTGAGGAGTCAGAGTTTCCCTTCGGATAATCCGATAAATCAGCCGGTATGAGGTTTTCCTTGATTATTACTATATATAGCATTGACTTAGACGATGCCACTCTTGATGGCGGACGTGTTGTGGGTCACGGTTATTTTTCAATAGTTTTTTAGCAGAAGTGCATTCGGCAATGGTAACTCCGTGGATAATGCAATAAAATATTTCATAGTACAGTTGCGTCAATTAATATCGTATATAACATGGGGTTATTGTAAAACCCCGAAATTGTGCTATAATAAATATTGTTTAATTATTTAATAGTGAATAATTCTCATTTATGATATAATAATCATATATATACCATATACATATATATATATATATAGTATATATAATATATATATATATATAAATATATATATATATATATATATATATATATATATTATAATATTCAGATGAACAAGTAATTATCTTAGTGTTTGATGAATATATCAGATTGAACGTAATTATCTGTGTTTGAGAACCCAATCTAAGTGTTTCTTATGCTGAGAGAAAATCAAGTGAAATGACCAGGCATGTTTTAAAATGCCTTAATGGCAGCAAGACATTTTTTCTGGGGGGCTGCGGCGGTCGACCAGACGCGGTCGACCGTGGGCGGTCGAGCCGCACAGGGCAGTCAGAGAGTCTTTTTCTCATCGTTCGGGTTCAAAAAGGAGTTTCGGTCGGGTTTGTGAGGTTAGTATATAAGCTCATGGTGGGCGCCGAGAAAAGCCATCTCTCAAAGATCTGAAAACACGGCAAACCCTAGCTCCCGCTCTCTTGCCATAAAATACCATAATTCTGGACGACTTGCTTGGTGAATTTAGGAGGAGTTCTTGAGGATATTTCAGCGTGGGTTGTTGATTTAAGGCGAAGGTAGGATCAACCTCAAGCTGCAGATACTAGCGATTCATTCTCACCAGAGGCGAGTTACTTGCTTCGCCCAAAACTCCAACGCCCCTTTGTTTCATGCAAAGTTGAGTTTTATTGAATTTATTAGGGCCATAAGAATCAGTATTTTCTATGTAGAATAGTAGATCTATATGGTACATGTTATGAGAACATGGGCTTTCAGCAAACTTTAAACGCTAACACTTACAAAGGACTTTTATCAAGCAAGACCTAGATCTGAAATTTGGTCTTAAACAAGAAGTTAAATGGCAATTTTACTGTATCAAAAACGTTTAAATCTTGTTTCTCTGTATTTTAAAATTTTGGGTATATGGTTTACAATACTTAAAAAATGCAATTGTTTCTTCATACTAGAATGATTTTTAGAGAAGTTAGACTTTTATTTGGCCATAAGAATCAAATTTTCTTGTTCCAGGTTTCGAGGCTTGACAGAAAAGCCGACAGATTGGGTTTTCTGGTGCGCGCTTGGCGGTCGACGATGGGACTCGCTGTATGGGGAAAGAAACAGAAATAGCCTGACGGTGCGACGCGCAC